GTACCATGTTTACCGACGACGCTACGGGTTTTGAACGATTGGCATATGCATATGCCAATGGGTTTCCCCGAACTCGGTGAACGTTTCGTTGCCGACAGCCGTGAACTCGAGCTTGAGGTAGAAGGGGACAGCCGCATCCCTCGCATGCAAATGGATGGCTTGAAAGCCTTCCTTGATCGCTCGCGCTTTGAACGCATTGCACAAAACCCGACCGATGCCATGGCGTTGCATGGCAGGTTTGACGACCACTTGCTTCATCCATGCCAATGGATGCGCAGGTCGAAGCATGCAATACGCGACCAATTCGTCGCCAGAGAACATGCCCAAGTGAATATCCGTTGCCTCATCGACCACTTCACTTCGATCGAGCTGCAGCCCCAGCGGCTTGCGGAGGACGTCCTCTCGAAGAGCAAGGGCCATCTCGTATTCCCTCGAGCCAAACACAATGTCGCGATGATGCATCGTGTTCTAGAATGACGCGTGGGCGGAACTCGTCTTCGACTGTGTTCCAAGATCTGCCAAATGTTGTCCTCTTTATTGAATGACGGTGAGGAATGCGGTCGGACGACCTTAACCCGCAACCCCGCACACAATGTGATGCAGGCACGATGGCGTCGCAGCTGACATGTCTGTGCTGATGGACGTCCTTCGATGCTGGGCGACTAGGACTTAGACGCCGCAGCGTGTTCATCACAACGACTCCGCCTAGGCCTAGCACCGAAAACAGTGTGATTTGATTGGTGGAAATGTTCCAAAGTCCCGTTTGATTGGCTGAAAAACGCCATATCCTGTTCTCGTGACATAAAGGATCGCATGCAAACGGTTGTTGCGAATCCCATGACGGGCGCGAGTGAACCCTCGCACGTGAAAGGCGGTTGCGATGGATCATGGCAGCTTGGAGTGAAGAAGATCACACTGTCCGTTTCCAGATCGATCCAAGAATGTGATGTGTCCGTGGTGGAATACGACCCGTTGGTGTTGCCCCGCCCACCGGGCGACGACGGAGCCAAAATTGCAGCTCCACGAGCGGCGCAACCGATCCCCGTTCCGCCAAAGACGATTGTGCAGTACTCAACTTCTCGTGTATCTTCGAACGACGTGGTCGCTTTGGAAGCGGGTGAATTAGACCCCCTCAGTGCGCTCATGGCAAACTTGGATGCGGACAACACCCAAAAGGCTTCCTCTCCAGCCTGGACGTCTCCACAAAGCCCCGCCAGCAAACCCGTGACGTTGCCGCCGCTCGACCCGACGAACGAATTCTTGGACGAATGGACTATCCAGAAAGACCTGCTCTTTCAAACGTTTGCCGCCGAGCGGTTCCACATCACGATCGATGCTCACGACGATGCCACGGATAGCGACGTGAAGAAGAAAGTTGTGTACACGGATGCCGACACCGCGAGCAGCACTTGTGTCATCAAGCGGGCACGCGCGCGTCTTGAGCAGCTCGACAGCAAGGACGTTGTCGACGAACCCACCACCGTCCAAGTGTCCCAGAGCGAGTACATCAGCCGCATCAAGGCGCTGCAGCAGGACTTCCTCGAGGCGTGGCACGACGACCAGAAGGTTCTGGCGCTGCGCATCACGATCAAGGTGGGCTCGTCGAAGTTGTTGTCATTGGCAATACCTGTTGTCCGATGTAGTGCATCAAGCTGTTGGGAGACACGACCTTTCCCAAGTTTTACCCGTGCATGTTTGTGCTCGTGTGCGACGTATTGGATTGTTTCGGGGCGCACGTGTTCAACCGTATCAAGGCCAAGGCGGAAGAGCACCATGCGCTGCCTCGTACGTATTGTACAGCTCTCGGATTTATGCTGCCCTCGGGGACGCGCGACGACTCGCGTTGGAGTGCAAGACTGATCTCGATCGTGTAGATGGGTTCACGTCGGGCGATGTCGACATCGAGGCCAAGGAGACGTGCCGCAACTGGTTTTACAAAACCGCTTGCATTCGAGAGCTCTTGCCTCGGATGTACGTCGACCGCAGTTGGTTTATCACCCATGCACACGTGTTCATGTCAGATACACTGAAATCGCGCTCCTGCGATGCTATCGATTCCTGTGCGACGGCGAATTCCCCCACATTGTCGCGCGGTTGTCCAACATGATCAAGTACACCGCATGTGGACTGAATGCATGTGTGGTGGCATTGAATGTGCGGATGGCGTGATAGAGGCGTCGGGGACGTGACCGTCGCGCTGTACGCGCGGACGTACTTGGCGCTGGCGAGCAGCCGCGTCCTGGTCGGTCACCACGCGTCGAACGTGATGCTGCAGAGCATGCAGGACTACATGCGCATCATGCACCGATTCGGGATGGACAAGGTAAGGCGGCGCTCGAGATAGGATCGAGTTGAGTCGGATGGAGCGAGCATGGTCCGCATGTGCCTGTGTTTTGTGTCCCACGAAACGTTGTATGGATCGAAACACAAATAATTGTAGGCGGTACGGTTTTACACCGACACCGAGTCGACCGAGTCGGAGCTGCATGCGATCCATGCCCCCGGCGTCCACTGGCTCATGAAGAGCATCGCGCTGGCGGCGACAGAGGTCTCTACACCCCCGACCTCGTTTCGGTCTTCGACTCGAATCGTTGTAGGTGCACGTGGACGCGTTGCTGCACCAGTACAAGCAATTCGCCGAGAACAGCATGGTGCTGGAACAAATCGTGACGTCGTTTCCCGGCAAGTTGCTCGCGCCGCACACGATGGAATTGGTGCAACTGATTCGTCAAACCAACCACAAGGTGCGTCTGCCGTGTGTGTTGGCGACGTTTGTCTCGATGAAGAGCCGTTCGGGACGATCATGTGTCTGGATGGGAGGCATGACTGCGATCGGTTGGTTAGGAAGAGCTCTTTCGCTGCCTCTCGCTCAAGCTGGTCGAAGCGCCGCCGCCGGCCCATGAAAAGCTCGTGTTTTTGAACGAAGTGTGGGGCACCATTACGCGATTGCTCGACATTCACGCGTACCTCCGATGCGCCGCTGCCTTTGTCGCGCTCCTCGTTACGCATTATTCGGTATGCATGCAACGTGGCGCTGGGTCTTCGTTCGCATGGACTCCACGTGTTCATGGCGTCACGGGCGGTGCGCCCAGTCGAGTGTGTGTTTTGCGCCCGGCCAACTATGGAATTCTCCACTGATGTGTACACGCTGTAGAGTCGCGAAGTTGTAATCCTTCTCAAGGACGTCGTGCGCCATCTCAATGCGTCGGAAGCGATGGACGCGGCCATGTACCAAGCACTCGAGGACATCATGGAGGTGATCATCATGGAAGCTCGCCGCCAGACGCACTACTTTACCACCATTGTCCCGTCCTCCGAGTTCCTCGTACGAGTTGCGCGTCACATGGCATGCGTGCCATCACGGACCCACGTCGTAGACGCTTCTCGGGATGTTCCAGCACTCCACCAACATCACGCTGAGCAAGCGACTCTTGACAGCGTTTGTCCGAGGCCGCGACAAGGGGCTCCGCCTCGCCGTGGAAGGTCCACATGCATCGATCGTCCACATTTTGCTCAGCATTTGCACACGCGTCCACGATGCCCTCGACAGTTTGAGCACTTCGCTGGAAATCCACGAAGCGTCGCAAGCGATCTGCACGTTTGTGAATTGCCTCGACATGAGCGGTGTGCCCCACGAAGGCGATGGCCTCTTGAACATGTACGTCGAGTGCCGCCGGGTGTTTTACAAACTGGACCGCGTGAAAGCATGCCTCGTGCGGCGCGTGCTGTGGCTGAGCGTCCTCGTTGACTGCCATGTACGTCTTTCTTCGGTATTGAGGCATCGTGATGCGGCGGGCGCCATGCCGAGGCCGTCATTCATGCTCATGTAGATGCGGCGATCGTTTGTCAAGGGCTGTCTGGCGTACTGCCATATCACGATCCCGTCGCTCGTGGACGGCATTGAAAAACTCAAGCTCATGACGCTGTGTGCCAAGGTACCACAACGTATCGAATGCGCACATGCATGCAGAGTGTTCTGCCGTGGACGGTATGGCTCGCAAGTTGTCGATCGATGGTGTTCGTGTGCTGAGTTGAAGGGTCTTGATACGTGGCCGAGGCCTTCCTATGCTGTGCGTAGATAGCGCTGGCCAGCCAGTGTCTGCCGCAAATGGACGCGTTTGTGAAGGCAGCGATCGTGCTCATGACGGAGCTTCCGTCGGCCAAGGCCGCAGCACAAGCCGACTCTGACCAGGACGCACTGGCGGTCGACGTGTACGAGCAGCACGCGATGCACGCAATGACCGACCTTCTCTCGCTTCTCGTTGTCGTGCCATCCACGGGGGATCCGCTCTACTTTGTCAATGGGTTTCGAAACGCCATGTCCAAGTTCCCGTGGCTGCCGACCCTGGCCAACCACACGCGCATGCTCGTGCACTTGGTCCCGTTCCTGGCTGCGTGGGTGCCCGACCAAGAGCTCCCGTACGCAATCGGTCATGGTACGCACCGCTGTGGTCGTCATCGAATGGTGTGCTCCGTTGTGTCGTGGTCGGGCAAATGCTAACGAGACGGCGTCGCGGCATCGAATGGTTCCTGGAAACTAACCAGGGCGACCTGTGGATGCCTTGACGTTTGTCCCGTTCAAAAGTTGGTCTTAATGGAGTGCCCATGTCGCCATCGCTTCCAACTCTGTGTAAACGACGACTCATCACCGTCGATGGTATAGTGCCTGCAAACGACGTCCTGTTTGGCGGCAGTGCGGCCCTCGCGACGGCCCTCGCAGACATGCTCACGAGCGTGATTGAGGTTGGTCCCTATCTATATTGCGTCACCGTGGCGAGGTTGACCCGTCCTTGTTGCAGGAAATACTCGACCAGCTCCATGGCCTCGTTCAAGACCCCCAACAACGCGACCATCGCAATCGGGTCAACCTCCAGAGCGATATCCTCTTGGACTTGATCAATACCCTTGTTACATCCGTTGAACTCAACGCGCATGCAGCCAGTCGACTCGTGAACTTCATGACGGGTCTTGTCGCGCACCACGCCCTTCTCCACGGTACCTCGCCACTCGTCGACGGTCGCGCCATGCTCGAACCTGACGACTATGGAACAGACGACATCAAAACGTACTGGCGCAACACAAAGGCATTCATTGTCTGTGGTGCAGATCACCCACCGTCCACCCTCGGCCCGCGGCAAGTCGCGCCGTGGCACCATGTCGCGCACAGCCTGCATTCGGTTCAGATGTTGTGATTGGAAAGAACAAACTCCATTTGGATGTGAAACACTAATTCCAGGGTTTTCGTGAAACGATCGGTAACGAAATAATGTGAGCTTTTCCACACTAATTAAAGTGAACTCGATTGAATCCACACTATTTCAGGTTTCATGGAGACCGTTTCATCGCTCTACAGGCTGGTTCCACAGGCTGGTTGCGTCGTGGCGCTCACTCGCTCGTCATGCGGCGGAGCGGTGCCGCTGGGATCATGGGTCCCTCGTCGACAAGTTTGAGTCTCGCTACACATACTCTCCTTGCGACACCGACTCCGCCCGAGCTCACGTTCTCAAGGTCAACGAGCCCGAAGTCAAAGAAACTAGCATTGCATCACCACAACCTGCAATATGCACCGTCGCCTGCGCTGTTCACTCACTCGGCAGCATCTCAAGGCGATATAATTCGCCAGGGCAATCCCGTCGAGACTCACGGTCTCTTGAACGTGTCGGTGAACGAACATGACGACGACAACGAGGACGAGCGCGCCGCCGCCGCCATACACCATCATTTCTTCCGCCTCCTCAAGTCGCGTACGCGAAGTGTTGCCGAGAACGAAGACCTCCAGGATTGGCTCCTTCAAACGTACAATGCGGCATACATGACCCTTTTGAGCCTTAGCCACGGGAACGCACGGTGCTTCCGCGACCTCATCTTCTCCATGTCGGTGCTGTCGCGCACCGCCACCGACTACGTCGTGCGGCAGGACGAGACGCCCACGGGCTCTGTGTTCATCGTGATGTCGGGACAGTGCACTGAGATCATCCGCCGCCACCGCTTCAACATTGCAAATGCAGCCTCGTTCTCCGCGCAAACGGCATTGCCACGTCAACCAGCCTCCGACGTTGCCGCCACGGACGCGACATCATCCAACGGGGACGACCTTACGTGGCGCACGCTTCGCTCTGGCGACGTGTTTGGGCTCGAATCCATTTACTTTCAGTTCCCGCACCATTACATTTCCCTTCGCGCGGACGGGTGTGTCGAGCGGAATCGCATCGGCGTCTCGACGTTACACCCGACGCACCTTCTCGTCCTTCCAGCCTACCCCCGCGACAAAGTCGCCCTCTGCTCTTCCATCTCTACGACAAGCGCGCGATCTTCGACGGGTGCCATGTCCCCCACGAGTGGCATGTTGTCGGTGGCATCCACTGCCAGCCGCGTTGGTTCCACCTTCCTCGAACAAGTCTTCCTCCTTCGGTCGCTGCCCCATGCATCGATCGAATTCCTTGCGTCCCACCTCACGATCCTCCACGTGACCAAGAACGAATACCTCTACACCGCGGGCCAACCGCCGTCCATTTACTTTGTTTTGTCGGGGGAGCTCTGCGTGTACACGGTCGAGGACGTTGTGATTACCACTGACGGCGAGAGCGAGGTAACAACGCATCCCCCTTGTCGCTGAGTCCACATCGCGTAATGCCCGATCCATGGCCTCACGCTCGTTTTCCTCGGCCGTGTAGGTAGTCACGCGGCGGGTGGAGCTCCAAATCCTCAAAGCGTACGACTGCACCGGTCTAGCCGAAGTGTGCTTGAATCAAACGGGGTTCCACAACTACTGCGTCGCCGCCGTCGACGCGTCCGTGTACATTTTGCCAACGTACGCGCTGTTTGCGGTGGTCAAGGGCGGGATGCCCGTCCTGGACGTGTTTGTCCAGTACTTCACACGGCAGCGCACTTGGTACAAGCTGCGGCGCTTCACTGCGCTCAACCATTACAACAAGCGCGTCGACTACAGGTATGGAAACGTCGATCGCATGCGACTATTGAGTGATGGCGCTTCGGCTGCAGGCTGACGCCAGGAATGCAACGAAAGGGGCCGATTCCGTGCCCGCGGTGCGGTCTCCCCGGCCACATGAGCGATTCGCTCGTGTGCAAACAAAATGCGCATGGCGACACGGTCGATGTCGACCCCCGAACACTGACTTCGACCGCCGCCGCCGACGCGGTGTCGCCGCGTCGGCCACCGTCTGTCCGGAATGCATTTCTCCACCGCCGCATGACAGCGTCCGAACGAGACGTCATGCTCGACGAGTCGGGCCTCCAGTCCGAGCTGGACGTTGCCGACGGCGCAGGGTCGATTGAAAAAGCGCTGCGCCGCATGGACCGCGCGCTCGGGCTCCTCGTCCCGTCCAAGACTTTCCACATTCGCCGAAAGTCCAAAGCCAAGGTCGACGCGCCGATTCTGACCAACTCGCCGTCGACACCCAAGACCCTTCCCACCATGATCACGCGATCGAGGCCCAAGCTGCCCGCCGGATGAGCTTCCACGCGGGATCCCTGAAACATCCTGGGGAAGCATGGGATGGTCGAGCTTGGTACTAGTTTTCTCGCTCGTTAGGAATACATCGAGGCCGCAGCGTTCGAATTCGTCATCACCGTCCTCCAGTCTTGCGTTTCTTGGACTTGGTCGACGGCGCCGTCGCCATCGGCGGTGGTGGTCGTGCCTTCATGCAATCAAAGATGCTGGACACGTCATCCTCGTCAAACGACGGCGCTTCGTGGTTCCATGTCGTCACGGGGGACGCGGGAAGGTACTTCAACCACGCTCCGTCTTCGTCGTCGATCGAGATCACATCGACTGCCGCGGCCGGATCGTCTGGACAGGGTGGCGGCCGTGGCTCGACCATGTCAAACTCGTCCTCGGGCTCGTCGTACACAACGTTGTCCGTGATAAGAGTAAACCCCGGCGGGTACATCGCTCCCTACACAGGACACGCATCAAGTCGTCGATTCTTGCCGTCGACGCACCGGCCACGACGACTCGTACGGGACTTCCAGCACATGCACCGATCCGGCAGACGACACGACAATCAGGTTTTCTCTCGTTGGGTGCCAAGCCACGGCGACCAACTCGCCGGCGAAGCGATGGTCGTGGTACATGTTGCCTTCATTGCGGTCGTCGTCGTCAGTTGGGTCTTTGGACCGGCATCGCCACATGAACATGCCTTTCTCCCCGACAAAAAGACCACGGGGCTGGGGAATCCCGAGCACAAACTGGCGGTCGGGACTCTTGCTAGCCATGATCCATGGCGCGCGGACTGCCGCGCCGGCTGTGTACACCCGGCCTTCCTCCATCCACGGCGCGTGACGAAGCAATAGCACCTCATGTACTCCCTTCGTCGACGGCACTAAGAGACTCGTCGCGTCCACGTACAAATCGACGCTCGAAATGACGACGGACGGCAGCGACAACCCCCCCAAGACCTCGAACGTGTGTGGGTTCAACATCGCAATGCTTCCTTTCATGGAAACCACAAAGATGACGTCCGATCCAAATTTGGCCATCACGACGGGGGCAGTGCTCCGTGTCGATGGAACCGACGGAGCCGACGAAGCGGAAGGCGCACCGCCGTCGCCTTGGCCCACCGACGCGAAGATGGGGACTGTGTCGATGGTGACTGTGTGAAAATGCAGGCGCATTGCGTTGCTGGGGTCGATATAGTGTAGAGTTGTTGCGCCGTTGGCGCTCGCGTCGATGGCGGAGGTAGTCCATGAGATGGTCTGGAGGTCGCCGCTCGCACACGACAACAAAACGGATCTCGCAGCAGTGGAAATGTCGATGGGGGTGAAGCTTGTGAACATTGAGAGAGGCGCAAACGCGATATGAGTCGCCATGGATTCGCATGCCACGGCCGCAAGTAGCGTCGACGTCTCCACCTCCCACAGCAGGAGCGTTCCCTTCCTCGCCGACCCTGACGCGGCTTTCAACTCACACGCGACAGCAAGGATTCGTCCATCTGGAGACCACGCGCAGGACGTCGCCTGCTTGATATCTGGGATCGACGACGACACCTTCTTGGGACCGAGCTCGCGGATGATGTTGGGAATCGATGAAAAGTCCCACAGGATCACGAGCCCTTCCTTTTCGCCGACACTAAGAAGCGTGCCCCACGGATTGAACGCGAGACACGTAGCCTTCTCCGCGCCATCGATCTCTTGCCATTGCCCTCCGCAGACTCCCAAGCTCTCCGTGGGATTCACGCGGACTGGGCGGCACACGGCGCGCACCAATGCCACATTCATGGAATGGTGCCTAAACACAAGGAAGGGCAAGTCCGGATAATCACATCCGGATTGCATTCAATCCTGTGAAAGCGCGATCTTGGCGCGGTTTGTTGCACATGGAGGGGCTACCATGCGCGTGGGCCGCTTAGCAGTGCGGGAAAACAAACTGTACACGATGCACGCATGGAACTACATCGCTGACTACATCGCCATTTGACTGCTGGTGTCGAGGAGGACAATGCCCATGTGAACACGAACGATCTTGTGACGGACACCTTGCAAAAGGTTGGTAGCGCACGTGCGGTTGCATTCGTTCACGTCTTGTTCTGGTGGTTACGTCAAGTCGACCGTCTCCAGTTTTGCTCTCCACTCCCGCAATGCTTGCTTCTACGCCACCGCACAGACTGTCATGAGTGAGCCCACTTCGTCCTCGATCGATGTTCGTTCGTCATCGACATAGCGCACCTGCCAAGATACCATCGGCGCGGCGTCCGACGCTTCGAAGGAGACGATTGCAGTGTCGAGTACGTCAGGACTCCACTTCTCGTATGCTTCGAAGATTCCATGCAGGAGGTGGTCTGGAGCTCGAAACGACGTCAAGGTCTCAGCGTAGGTGCAATAGGCGCGGCGTGCACGTTCCAAGTCATCTAACGCGACGTAGCAGCAAATGCTGAGCATGTCGGCTTGTTTCGAGATCAAGCTCGGGCGGTAGCGAACCCCCATCGCCTTGTACAGCTCCGACGCTGTTTGTAGCCATCGGATTCTCCAACGATTCATCGTATCACATAGTGCCATGCCTTGGGTTGCATAGATGGCTGCAGCTGCCAAATTCGCAGAAGCAGCGGCAGCCGCGTGGTCTCCAGCTTCGAAGACACGGGCTGCTTCAACGTAACACGCAGATTGCCGACCCAACAACACGTCGGCGACCTCGACGTTGTGGGTCGTGATGCAGCGAGATACCTGACCGGCATAACATCCCGCCAGTTCGACGAGACACTGCCCCGCATCGTCGAACGCTCCTTTCGAAGCATACTCCTGCAATGGTTCAGGTCGCGCCACGCACATCGGGTAAATTACCTCGCTCGCGCCACGAAACAACGATTCCACACGATGTATCGATGTGTGGTTGTCGATGCACTTGGCAAGACAGCGAGCGGCGTCCAGCCTGTAGTTTACCGACACGTACAGATTCCGTGCCCCGGCGGCTGCCTCCAAGTACGCGTCCGCGGCTGCATCATGTTGGCCTTGTGCTTGGAGCGCCTTGGCCTTTGCTGCGTGCTCGCTTGAATCCGATGGCGCCGTGGCGGGCATTGTGGAAGCGTTGACATGCAAACCTATAGCCTGGAACGTCAGGGAGACCGTGAGAGGAGAAGGGTACCAGACGGCGACCCGCCGTGGGTAAGTGCCACGATGGTCGGGCCGTACTGCCGGGCAAACCACGAAAGCGCATAAGACGAATCGCACCATATCCATACGCCAAAGCACCCCAGGGCGTACCGCTCCATGGACGAAACATGAACCAGCGTGAAGAGGACCATGTTGTGGCGAACCCACGACGCAGCATCTTCCGCTGTCCATGTCCACGACGCGATCGCCGAGCGCATCCACGATAGTAATGCTTTCGATTCAGCCGTGGATGTGTTTGGAGTGTGCGCTGTGGCAAGCCAGTCGGCGAACGACGCGTCGGTGGGGTTGGACAGGGCCGCGATTGCTGCGACACATGCTAGGAACAGACACGCCCGGACCATGGCGTGATATACAAACGGTCCAACGTAGACAACTACGAGTACTCCTACGGCGCATCCAATGAAGATCAGCCCAACCTGCTTCTTGCTTCGACAGCATGCAGTGGAGTACCTGCGACGGCGCCGCCGGCGACGCGGCGGCTTGGCATGGTTCGGCACGTTGAGATTTTGTTGTACGGATGTACGAGTAGTACGATGGATCCATTGAGTCCACTACATTAAACTATGACCAGGGTACATTCACTCCGTACAATGCGATCATGTACGAGGAGGACCCATGTATGTTGGAAGACTCGAACGGCACGTTCCAGGGAGGGCAGGGTGCTGCATAGCTGGACGAGGACGTAGCCGTTGGCGTCGCAACATGGCGCGGGAACCAGAGACGTATTCAGCAGCAGCTCGGCAGTTGCGATTGTTGTGTACAAGTTGAGATGACACTTAGGACCTGCGTCGGTGAGCTCAGTGTTTCGCGGAGGCTTGGAGCATCAGTACAGGCTACATCACGTGGTGCAGCCCGTTGCAAGCGCTTGGTTGGAACAAATGGAGCCTAATGGTGACGTCGTCGATGAAGCATGCCACGGAGGGCGACGCCGCACGATTCGTCGGTGCGACCAACCTCTAGCACTCGCCGCATGCCAAGGCGAGAGTGAGAGATTGGAGACTTCCTGTCTGCACAGCACCTTTCCAACTGCCACAGTACCCATCGACGCTGTCTCGTTTCGACCAGGTTGAGTTCGTCCAGTTCGCACGGTAACCCGCCCTCAAACTCGATTCGACAAGGACCACCACCGGCTCACTTGTCAACTGCTCTGTGCGCCGTGGACGAACATGCCCACACGTCATCTCCGGCGTACATGAACAGACGAAAGCATGGCAGAATGCATGGTGCAGGCCAGTCTTCCTTCGGAGCTGTCGATGCTGGTTCGGAGCTGTCGATGCTGATTCGGAGCTGTCGATACTGAAACTTGTTTGCCGCTGTCCACCTGCATTGACAGAGATACAGCTGAGTTAAAGCTCCAAGCAACTTATAAATTGATCTGCACCTTGGCCGCGTGTAGCGATGGCCGCGAGCATGGCCTCGCCGCGGCCGCGGCATGGTGCCAGGAAGATGCAAAATGCCAAAAAGCCGTCATCCGGATATTTTTAATCATCCGGTTGGCCCCTCTGTACATCCCGCATCGACAGCGCCGAGATGGAACATGTCGACCTGAGCACGGGAATGACATGGCACCCAGCGGAAACGAAGAAAAGAAAGCATGCATCAGCATCCGCGGCAATGCCGTCTTCTTCGTCGTCTCCATCGTTGACGAACTTTGCGTTCCAGTGTGCATTTGATCAAACTCAAGCCGCGGTCAACTCGGTGCTCCAAAAAGCCAACCATGCATGTTTCGACCAAGTGCTCGATTCATTCGTAGAACGATCGAGTTCGTCCGTGGATCCGCATCTCCTGCCTCTCCAGCCCTTCCCGGTCGCCGCCGTGATCGCAGGAACGGACGCCGGGGCCGCGTCCAGTGCGTTATGGACCGAACCGCTGATCCGCCGGCTCAAGTACCGCTTTCCATTTGTCGTGAGCGTTCAGCGCCAGTTCACAAACGGGCGACAACTACTCGAGTACGTGGCGAACGCGGTGTTCGTTGAAGCCCAAAACCGGACGATGGAGGGCCAGTGGCTCCAGATCGAGTTGCAGCGCCAAAAAAAGCAGTTGACGTCGCGGCGGTCGTATCGATTGCCCGCCGCGCGCAGCTCCGACGTCCCTGTCATGAAGTGGGACACCGTTGCAGGTACTATCCAACACCACATTCTAATCCATTGACCTGTGGATGTCCAGCCATCTTGCGCCGCGTACACGATGTCGTCGAGCCCGTCATGCAGCAGTCCGACGACGTCACGATTCAAACCGAGATGCTGCACTTGGAGCTCCAAAGTGCCGCAGACGTCGCGATCGCTGAGTGCCAGGCCAAGTTCGACGCAAGCTGCGAGTGCCTCGACCGGCTTCTGCAAGACTCCACCGATCGACTGCAGTACCTTCGGAAACTCGTAACATGTCCATGCGCGCCATGGAATCGTGAAAGAAGCGTCTTGGCCTTTAGGTGGGAGTGGGTACTGGCACCGAGCGCAAGCTTATGCAACTGCATCAGTGGCTTGTCGACAAATATCGGAACGTTGTCGAGCACGAGCTCAAGCTGGAAATCCACGACGCAGCCCGCCTAAAGCTTCGACGAATCCTTCGCAAGATCGTGACCACCCATTCTATCGACAAAAGTGTCGCTGCTCCCGAGGTATGCTGTACATCCCATCGTATCGCCCATCGTGGTGGTTGCAATGACGTGCTGCCCAGCACGCTAGCGGGCTGACCTGCACCCGCTGCGCCAGGCCGTCGTGCGTGCCGATACGAGTGTTGTTTTGAATGGGATGGCTAACAGAGCGCTAGATGTTGCAGGACGGCGCGGCGGCGCCGCTGTGCGTCCCAACAGTCATCCTTGTGGTGGACCAGTTTGAATCGATCGACGAGATCGTTTTTGGCGACTTTTTGCACATGTGGCGAGACCACACGACGACAACGTCGGCTGCGTCATCGCCAATGCTCCTGCGCCTGGGCCTTGTGCTCGGCTTCAGCTCGCCGTTCTCGCCATCGTATCGCCGCATGCCGCATGCGATTGCGTCGATGGTGTCGGTGCGACCGATCGTCCTCGAGGATTCGTTCAAGAACTTCCACGACATTTGCCAGACACTCGTGCTTTCTGGCACGTTCCCCATCACCGTGTCCGGCGCGGTCTTCCTGTGGCTCCACACAACCTTCTCTCAAACCCACTCGATCGATGGATTCCTCGCCGCGCTCAAGCTCATTTTGTACCAGCACGTTGCGCCAACATGGGCATCTCGAACGACGTCGGTGTTGGACCGTCATCGAGTGCTGGCGCTATTTCCACTGCCAAAGGACGCCGCCGCCGCGCATGGACTTCCATCCACCGTCCAAAGCTACGTCCAGTCGCTGTCGGATGCAGAGTCCTCGGCCCTGGAACATGCACTTCGCCGACAAAACCATGAAGGCGTGTCGTGTGATGGCGGCGACGACGGCAGCGCGGAGGCGGTCGTGGCGGCGACTCTCGACCGCGTGCACCAGTGGAAGCAATTGTGGCAGTGCATGTGGAATTGTGTCGACATGACGTGGCACATGTGCACAACGTTCGAGCCGTCGTGGACGAAGTTGAAGGCGACGGCGGTCGCGCTGGCGCTGGACGGTCACCTGGCCGGGTCGGTCGTCGCGCAGCACATGCAAGCATTCTTGCTTCATCACGGTACGACATCCAGAACACCGTCGCAGCCCACGTGGCCATGACAACGGTGCCGTAGTGGGAATTCGGGCCATGCACTCGTTGGTGCTAGAGTGGAGGCAGTGTATAGCGAGGTACGCTTTGCCACGTTAAACGTTGAAGCTGTGGTTCGTGGCGTCTGGCTCCGTCCGCAGCAATGGAGAGATTACCATGGTGTTGGGCGGTGGCAAGGCTGTGCCTCGTCGGCATGAAATTGGATGGCTGGAAAGTAGGATGGTTCTGCGTGTGATGATGACCTGTTTGTAGGTTTGAAATGGATGGTTGCGACGCGCCGGCACTGACCGAAGTTGCGTCCGCGATCCACGACATGGTCGAGGTCCTGGCGTTTGTCCAGGAGACAAGCGAATCGGACGAGACAGCCAAGATGATCCCGGAAGTGCGGCGGGACGTATGGAGCCTCCTGAGCCGACGGATGTTACCGTGCTTGAGCCCGGCGCTGCCCGCAGCGTGCGCGCCGCTGGGCTGCGTCTTCTACTTCGACGATGTCGAGGTTTTGGAGACGCACCTGGCGTCGCACATGGAGACTGCGATGGCGGCAGCGATGGAAGCGAAGCACCCGCCAGGCTCATTTGGCCACGATTTGCACATCCTCCATACGTTTTACAGGCACACGGCCGGGATGTGGATCAGCGTCGCCGAGTGGCTGGAGGATTTTCAGACCAAGTGCAGCGGTGGGGCCGCGCCATCCAAGACGACCAAGGACGCGTCCAAGGTGCGCTTCCTCCGAGGCGTTGCCGCCATGCAGCACCTCGGGTTTGTCCGACAAGTGGGTAATGGGGACGACTACGTTGAGAAAATGTTGTTCTTGTAAAGAAGACGAGGATGGCGTGCGATGGAGTCGCCAGATGCGGCATGCTATGCATACCCATGGAATATACATGCGATGAACAGGACAAGTCGATGGCGGGGAGAAGCTTGGGCAGATCGAGAGGATTACTGCGATGCGGGCGAAGGCGACGGTGAATGAGCGCTGCGAGCACGCCGCGACATCCAGTAGCGGCCCATATTCTCATGACAGAGCAAATCCACGAGGTGGACAACGGAGCTACCGGCAGAGTGGAATATCGTTGTTGTTGCTGGATATACATTAACGTTAATGGTGGACCACGCATGGATCGAAGCGTCACACCACGCGCACAGAAGCTGGTGGAACAAAGCAGCAGCGTGGAAGTGTTGTATGCAACGGACGGTTTAATCGTCACCGCCACGTTCGATCGCTACAGCAAGGGATGCATAGGTGAGTGATGTCGATGGGGAAGGATACGGCATCATGCCAACAACACGTGGTTGGCGTCGTACCTCCCGTGTTGTAGTGCAAGAGCTTCTCGATCAAGTCGACGTGGGTCAAAAGCATGCGTCGGCAGCAGTATCGCTTCAGGGACAGCTCATCCAGCGCGTCACCTTCTGTGTAATCTGCGCGGAGCAGACTCAAGTACGTCTCCCACTTGTTCGCCAGGACCTTCCCGCACGTGAAGCACCGGACCGGCACGATCATGCTGCTGCTTCCGACAAAATGGAGAATCGACCAAACCACCCAATCCCGTGGTGGTGGGGTATCCGGATATGTCGGATAGATATCCGGATATTTCCTTGTTCGACCTGCCTGGGGGCGCTTGGGACTCTGAATCGATCGAGGATGGACGTCGAAGTGCCGAATGCGCGGGGACATTTGCCCAACGATAAGAAGAACTCAGAGCATGAGGATCTGGACGACCGGTCGACAGAGTTTGGAGACGACGACCTCAATGAACGTGGAAGCGCCCCTGTCTTCCCACATCACCACGGAGCGTCCAAGATGATCTGGCGGGAAGTTTGGGACAACACGACGCCACTCACACTTTGGTGCTACACTGCCGCTGTCGTCGTCGTCGTGGGAGTCTTTTGGCTCAAAGGACTGAGCTTCCTATTTGTGCATGCCGCATTCATGACCGTGGCTTACGTTGGGTTTGCATCCGAGGCCATGTTGGTCTTTCGCCCGTTCAACACGCTCCACGTCAACTCGCGCTCTCCGAACCAACGCATCCAGCGCAATATCCACAAGCTCATAAACCACTTCGCCGGTGGCTGTATGTTTCTCGGACTCATAGGCATCCTCGTCCATCGGGTGTACAATGGCAAGAGCGTCGTCCCTCACGGGTGGCATTCCTGGTCTGGGACAGTTGTCATCTTGCTCGTGCTGGTTCAAATCGGATCTGGGCAAAAGAAACTCAAGCTGCTGCAGTACCAAGGCCAACAGAGCTTGAAGTGGCACGGCCGTCTCGGCTTGACCACGTACTCCCTTGCCATCGTGACCGTCCTCCTCGGGCTGCTACACATCGACCACACCAACACGGTGTACGTTTGGATTGGCGCCGTTTTCGGCGCCGTCGCCCCTGTCGTGTACGCGTACTCTTTCATTGTCAAGCATGCCGGCTACGCTGTCCTCGATCAGCTGTAGATCACCGCCACACGAGTCCCTGCACTGTCCTCTCAATATTGTGCCTAAAATACTCACTCCTATCCCGTGGGGACCATCTCGATGTGTTGATGGGGTTCGGACTGCCCAACGCGTCCGTTGACTAGCTCCAGACAGGACGAACACGACCGCTCGCATGGGCTACGTCTGTGCAAAGTGCCGCAGCAGCGACGGCTCCTTCAACCCCACGCGAACAAAACGCGAATCCACTGAGCGCATGACGGGCACAACCACATGCACGACAAATTGGCCGAAGAAATTGATTCTACGAGCCAAGCAACGTCCTCAGCCAAGGATTCCATGCGACGATTCATAATACACTCGAGCGCTTTCAAACGCAGTCTTGGTGGATCGACGCAGGAGGAGCTGCATCCACGATGCCTCTGCTCAACTTGCTCCACGTGAGCACGCTTGGTCATGTAGGCCATCTAGTCGAGTTGCGACATGTTTGTGTAGCCGCGCAGTTGCTGCCACAGGTCCGCACGGGTCACGGGCACTTGGATCGCGTCATCGTCTTCGTCAGACGATCCCTGCAAGGCAACGGATTCGAGTGAGTCTTCGATCTCCGTGGAACGATGGATGTACATAGGCCGATGGCAAATTCTGCGGCGCGAGGAGCGGCGGCGCACTGGATGCCTTGCGTTGAAGCGACTCCCACGTGTCCCTTTCGACAGGTGCCGACGGCGGCACCAGCGACGACGTACCCGTAAAGGACGAGTGCGGGACCGTCGATTTAGTCGATGATGGTGGCGTTGCAGGCCAGTCGTCTGTTTTGGTGCCACTCGCGGCCGCCGAGACGGAAGCTTCTTCAGCGAGCAATGGTAAAGGTGCGTGAGGAGTGGATCGTTCCACCGCGGCACTGGAATCAAATGGACTGCGACCTTTTGCCGCGGCGCATACAAGGTCCGTGGACAAGTCGATCTGAATATCGTCGACGCATACGCTCGCATCTTTGTCTTCAGCGTCGTCGTCGGCAATGGAGTTATTCGTGTCTACCACAGCTTGCACGGATGCAGCCTGGATTGCCACCGCTGTTTCGTGCGCAGCAATGCCCATGAGCTCATTCATGGCCACCAATGGAGGTACGGCGGACGCAATTCCTTTCACTTTTGCATGTGATGCGACGTTTTGTTCGCTCGGCACCTCGTTCATTTGAGGGTGCTTTTGGCGCTGCATCTTGTCTTCTTCGGCCCAGAACGCCGCTCCCAACTCGACGATGCCATTTCCGTGAACCAAGGCCTTCTCAGCGTCGCTGTCCGCCTGCGCCTCGACCCGTCGTGCTTCTTCAACTTCGTTCGAATCCTCCACGCACTCGGACGCTGGCGTCGTGGCGAGCTCAGTCAGCTTCTTCTCTCGCACTTCTCGTTGCCAGTCTCGAAATTCTTGCAACGTTCGGCGGCGCTCATCGTGCTATCCATAGACGTAAGTTTCTAAAACATGGAAACGTGGCTCGTGGGGGCACGACGCATCAAGGCCTCGTCGTCTTTGCCAACACGTTGGATAAAAGGTATATATGTCCATACCTCATGTTGAATGAATGCCCGCCGCGCGACTTCTTCCGCGGCGGTGCCTCCTTCCTTCCAAGCCGCCGCCGTCGTCCTTTCCATGTCGAAGATGGGTCGATCCAAATACCCCAGCTGTGGCAACGTCGTGATGTATGTCTTGCGAAAGTGTTTTGTTTTGGACACCGCGTCGTTGCCTGCATGGCAGCATCTCCTTAGTTCGTGGTGCCAAAGAATAGGTTGCGCAGGAGTGCAAGTATGCGCTGAAATTGTCGACAAGTGAGCGCGGTGCGTGCGACTACCTGTCAAACGAAGCGCCTTGAGGTTTGCCATCGCTTCAAAAACGTGCAAAATCGACGGATCCGCAAGCTTGTTGTGGCTCAAGTCCAGGTTGGTGATGGACTTGTAGTTTTTGAGGGCTTCGATATCTTCGACGTGCTCGAGTTCGTTCTTGGAAATGTTGAAAGAGGTTAGTTGCGTGAGAGCACCGAGGCCTTCAATCGTGCGGATGGCGTTCTCACTCAGATCGAGGGTCGTGAGCGCCGTGAGGGACTATGCAAGACCGAATGGGGTTGTGTTTTTGGAATCGATTCCGACAAAAGAGGAGGGGAGAGGAGGCACGAACGTACATGAAGGTTTTCGATGCGCTCGATGCGGTTCTTGTTCATGTACAGGCAGCGCAAATGGACCAAGCAGTCGAGGTTCTCGATCACAGACAACCCGTTCGATTCGAGCCACAGCGCTTTCAAGTTGTAGAACGGTTCAAGGCCTTCGATCTTCTGGAACCCCTTGAAGTGCGCAAACCTACAGGCGATCAACTTCAGACGAATTTTTTGCATGGACGCTGAAGTACAAGTTGTCGTTGAGCTCGGGAGTCTCGTAGCCGTCGTTATCCACGCAAAGCTGGACGAGCGTCTCGCGGTCCATCACTGGAAGATGGCCCTTCTGCTTGAGCTTGAGCTTTTCGCGATCACGCCTCTTCAACCGCTCCAAGAAATCGATTTCTTCGTTGTTGGTACTGAACATGGCGGCCCTTGAACACGGGCGCGAACGAATGCAGGAATGGCGAATGTTCTGCAATTGTCATGGCGCGACGTTTCAGGTGGAATCAGCTGATTGGCTGTTCTTCTAAAATATCTCGCCAATGGTAATGGTTGCACATGTCGTATAAGCCTTTGATTGGCTAAAATACGCCATTTTTATCCAACCATACAACGGATTCGAATGGTTCCAATTCATTCTTCGTGTATGATTGGTTTATAATCATACATCAAAGCATTTTGATTAGGTAAAAATTGATACTATTTTCAATAATAGCCAATTAAACATCTGCGCTATCGTTGCAGTGTCGAAATCTTCGACAACAGACCATCACAACATCATGGCAGATTTCGGCGAGGTAAGTGAATGCGCTGTAGAATTGCGCGTCATTCATGACTGCTCTTTAGCTTGTATTAGTGCTTGGGGATATGCACATTCCCCACCGCGCAGTAGACATCCCAGAGAAGTTCAAGAAGATGTTGGTGCCCAACAAGATGCAGCACGTCCTGTGTACTGGCAACCTGGTGACGAAGGAGCAATTCGACGAGCTACGCGATTTGGCGCCAAATGTCCACATTGTCCGAGGCGACTTTGACGAAGTAGGTGATCTTCCATTCCACGACGCACCGTGTGATGTCTTGCGTGGGGGATTTGTGCAAAGGGCTCCCACTACCCCGACAAAAAGGTCGTCACGATCGGACAATTTCGAATCGGCCTCTGCCATGGGCATCAAGTATGTTCATCAAATGGTTACCCAGCATGTTGCTGTGACGTTGCGATCGACAATATTATCCACGTCACGTAGATTGTGCCGTGGGGAGATGTCGACTGCCTTGGAGCTCTCCAGCGAAAACTGAACGTCGACATCTTGATCACGGGGCACACCCACGAGTACGTGCCACACGACAGTTTAACTCTTCTTGCCATACGTCACCCAATGTGTGCCTATGTCTAGGTACAAACTGCTCGTGCATCACGGAAAGTGGTTCATCAATCCTGGGTCGATTACAGGCGCTTACAGCAACTGCACCCCGTGCGTACCCAGTTCTCCGAAATTTTGCATGACATATCTACGGCAGGGATGTCGTTCCATCGTTCATCTTGATGGCAATTCAGGGCCCGAAAGTCGTGGCGTACGTGTACGAGCTCAAGGGTGGCGACACCGTCGTCGTATCCAAGAGTGAGTTTGTCAAGGACAGCTAAACCAGATCAAAAACAGACTCGGCTGTCTCCGCGGCGCCACTGTCGGTAGTTCCTGACACCGAAGGAAACGCATGCGTCAAATCGAGTAGTCGCGGCTGGTGTGTTCGAGGCTGGCAGATACCGCACCTTCCCCAATGGGACGAGCACGGTCACTGATGCAAACAAGGAGCACGTGCTATTCATGAAGTTGCATACAACAGCTTGGACCATCTCCACATGCGTGATGCTTGCTGCCTGATGGAAGAATTCTCGACTGGAGTGAAAGGGTGCTTCTACGTGCTGCAGTGGACGCGTCTTGACGATCGGGTAGAATGAATCATCCATCACATCTTCGAGTTGAGCTGCTAGCAAGAATCCGCATACGTTCGTACATCTTGTTGTGTGGGCATTCAAGAGCTGCCATGGCCCAACGCCGATGGCACCATACGAATCGAAGAGAGTGGCGACTCTACCAACGATGTTCAAGGCATCGCATGGTTCCACATCACACACAGGGACATGGACGAGTTGCCGAGTTAAATAGCTTATGGTAACGACAAACGCGCTCGCGACAAACGTGGACGTCCAGTGCCTCTATGTGAACACGGAAGGCAAGGTGGGAAAGAACCCGTCTTGGTCGGGCGCGGTAGGTGGCACACGCACCAGAATTGCACTCTTGCCTTGACAGTGTGTTGTCGAAAAGACGCACGTCTGCCAACTTCCCTTCCTTCCTATGGGCACTCCGCTGCATCTTGTACGGGGTTCCGTGTGTGGTTATGCCCCCGACACGACCACACCCGGGCTTTGACCTGCCCTTCTCGAACTGGATGGACGCGAGTCACATCGCTGCACAAGCAGAATGGAGAGAATCGAATCATTGCATACTCCAGTCGGTCCCTGTCATAGACACAACCGAAGCGGATTATGGGAATCTCCGAGATTGCATGTTGGGGAGTCAGTCTAAGCCACACGCAAATGCCGACCCTTCATCGACTGACGACACTTCGACATCAATACGGATACGAAGCCCTCACGTGGCTGTTCAACACGGGGATTCGGTCAGGCAACCACAAATTCGCGCGATGGGCCATGGAACTACAAGGACTCGACTACACAGTAATCCATCGGCCGGGTGTACTTAAAGCTGCAGCTGGTCACTCCCAGTGATAACACGCAGCGTTAAACAGTTGACCAGCGGTACCATCGAGAAATACGTTAGTGTACCACGCCTCCTCAAGTGCATATAGCAGAATACGATGTTCAATCAAACATTGCAAACCCATCGAACTGTTCGATCGGCGAAGACAGTTGGAGGGGCAGGTAGCGAAGGGAAAACACGGAGTTGAGAAGACTGAGGTTCTCGTAATAAAAGTAGAAGTAGAAGTGACGGTGGGCGAAGCCCATCAGTCAGTGTAGGCCAA